GTCTTCAGACGATATCTGCGCTACTGTCATCACAATAGTTTGCTGTTATCATCGTGGCCACCTAGAATCAACACAGTGTGTTTCTGTTCACACTCTACATAATGAGCCGTCAAACCGCAGATTCGCTACGCCTTACCTGGAGCTTTGAGAAACGTCTAGATTGCAACCAAATGCTCTGCGATATCGCTATCGTCGTCAGCTTCAATCGCTAGGGAAGCACCATGACTTTTTTTAATGAACTGCTTTAACCGTCCAGGTAAGTGCTAGCACCTGTCCTTGCAGCTACCAGCACCAGACGCCTTAACGGCGTCCCAGACACGATAAGCCATTCGACGTCCAAGATCGATTCCTTGTTTATACTTTACTCGGCTAGCAATCGTCTTACCACTTGTGGTTCTGTTAATCGTGTGAGAGCCATTCTGTAGCTGTCGAGGCTACTTGCCTTTGCGGTAATCGTAGCAATTTTAGAGCAGCCGTACTGTGGGGTGTTATATGAGCTTAAATTGGGCCCCTTGCATTTGGATCGCATCATGATAACCTCGAAAGATCATCTTGTAGTGCTTGTGCAGGCTTGAACGGTCCGGGCACTTCCTAAGCGGGTACAGCATTAAACAGCACGTTTTTCCTGCGCCAGGTCAACGGCTTGGATGTGGGCAGCTGCTTATGCACGATACTGGAGATTATTTTTTGCGTGTAGTATTGAAGGTCGACCCTGCGGATCATTGCCAGAATTTTCATGCGTGGCAGCGTTGCCGACCTTAGTAACGAGTACTACAAATACTACCACTTACCGACCGATGAAAAGATAGCATCTCGCATTAAAAAAACCGTCGATTTATAACAAAACTATACTGCATCTAAAAATTTAGCAGCGCTACTGTGTTGAAGTTGAATTTGTCTAACTACAGTAACCAAAATGAATAAAGAGCTTTCGATATTGACTATTGCCACAAGTTTCAATGTTTTGGCAATCGAGTTTTGCGAGTGGGCCATCACCATGCTCACACTCGCTCTCTCCTGTGGATTTGTTTAATCAACTTCTAGATATTTAGAATATCCAAGAAAGTCTAATGGGGGGGGCAACTTAACCAGTGCCCTATTTTTACCGAGGGTTTAACTTTAGTAACGTACAAAATCGCTGGTAAACAAAGAGCTATTAATTAAAATTGTGACTCACTTTCGCGTCTCCTAGATGATATCCGCCTGCGGTGCGGCGCTAGCGACCATTTAGCCGTGCCTATTACTCGGTGTCCGCACCATGGAATAAGGACCAAGGTGGTTCAACGCGCTCCCTACAGCACATGCAGGTACACTACCGCTTTGTAAGCGTGAACATCCGCTCGGGGGCAGTTAAAAGACATCGCCATACTCAAGTGGAAGTGAAGAGTGAAGACGCTGATGGATGAGGCTAAGCTTTCATCTTCTGTAGCCGGAGAATATGCCGTAGAGCTGCGTCACTAAGATGCTTATACCTTTCCATGGTATAGCGGGTCGATTCTTCATTTCGTGTTTGGATCTACCACCTGCTGTATCTATCCAGATATCGTCATCTTCTCTAAAGCAGAATATAATTCATTTGATTGCTACTTAGTCTAATCAATATGTACATTGATGATCTTACTGAAAAAAACTAACTGCACCCCGGTGGTCAAGCTGCCGGTGACCCCCCACTGAAACCCTTAGCACAGCGTGTACACGATACGTCGCTCACTCCAACACAGAAGAAGTACAACAGTTCGATTTGAGTGGAACCTGATGACGTTTTCAAAACTAAATTCCAGACGCGTGACGTCAGCCAAAAAGCCGTCCATAGAAAATAGTCGTGTCACGACTAATTAGGGTGGGCGATGTACCTTTATTACTAATTAACCGCGGTTTACCCAAATGCGCATTTTCTGAAGAGTACCCTCTGGATGAGGGCCCGCATTAGCGATCCCCGTCTTTTGACGACTGACGCAGCGTCACGCATCGTGATAAGATGTGCTCCACTTCTGCACCAGCAGTTAGAGTATGTGCCGCAAAGCAACATATTTGGCGACTCGAATTGATTAGAGAATCCGAGCCGTGGCTACGATGTAAAAACGATAGTACCGGAAGGTCGCCAGGTCACTATACAAGAACATTCGTCAGCTCCGAAACGTCTTGTGGGCCCTTAACTTGCCCGCGCCCCAGTCGCCACCAGTCCCAGATGAATAAGCCGTCAACAATCGGGATATAGATGAAAAATTAGCAGCACAAGATGAAGTCGACAGTGAGACTGAGCCTATCAATGATGGAGAGGACACCGGCGACGAGGCCTGCATTTCCGCATGGAAACACGCAATCATTGACGCGCCAGTCGGGCAGAATGCTCAAACAGCGATAGGAGATGATTGCGGCACATACCACGACATTATTCCAGCTCCCGGTCGCTCCCCGCTGCCAGCAGGTAACGCCCCAGTAAAGTCAGTTTCATGGAATTCGAGCACGAAAAGTTGCGCTGAAAGTAATGTTTCCTTCTATTAACAACATAGAAAGCGTAGATAAGTGCAAAATACATCATCATTTAATATTATTCTGACTTACCATGCAGTTGAGATGCGATGAACTTCTTGCATCGAATTCCATTGGGTGATGAGAAGCAGCCACAGAGCAGGCGCAGGATTTTGTCTTTACCGCGATGGCGTAGCTCTGCTAGATTTAACAAGCCATTTTTTTCTATTAAAGGTATTTAGAACGTTCACGACAGCTGCAGCTTGCTCTGATACCAATATAAAGACATGTTTTAAAGAGGATATAAAACTTATACTAATATCGTGTACGGAAACAACGCAGACACAGACTTTTGGCCGCGAAGTCTATCACGATGACATTGACCGGCGTTATCTATCACGATCGAACCAGAGTTCCAGCTCCTCTCATCAAAACGTTTTCCATTTGTCCGGTGAAGGAGAATGCGTGGTGCTCCGACCCCGTAGGTAAATGGGCGTAAGCTACAACAATTTCAAACAGGCAGCCAAATAGATATGTTTCCGCGATATATTTCTTTACATCAGCATGAAAATTCACACGTCCACCTGAAATTTCCTACATGGTAGAAAGACCTTGATATTATTGGTTATCGTACAGCTCAGCATACCGTGCTATAGAAAACTTTTCTGCGAGGCATAGCAGCCTCCGACGTTGCGTCCAGTCACTTGAGCAGCCTCCGTCCTGATGGTAGCTCGACGAATAAGTTCGTGAGCAGTTCTCCCTAAAATTTCAACAGCAGTCTCCAAAACGTCTGACGCTCGGTAGCAGTGAAACGATCGCGTTATTATAGCTTCCTACTTGATACGGACGTCGAATCATCGGCAATTTGCTTGGATCCGGAGAGTTCTCCCGCGTAGAACGGACAGCTCTCTCGATGCTTAAGCCAATAGTCTTTGCATTCGCGTATTCGTTCTGGCGGCGCTCAGTGTACTCCCTTAGACATAGGTTGTACACCGCCCAGTAAAACAAAATATTTACCTTCTCATTACTGTGGGTAAAAAGCTCTCTAAGAGCGCTTTGGGGACGCCCTAACTTTGATTTTATCCACACGACGTGTATCGTGGCTGGGCTGTTGTGACTTAGGCACTGCCATCGTCAAATCTTACCATTTTACAAACGGGAACCAACATGTTTTCCTAGCTAAGGGTATTCGTTTGCTGGGGTGGCTAAGCAAGTGTACCTTCTAAATGGTAATATAAAAGCCAGCGAGCAAGCTAACAACATATGGTTTTTTTTTTGCGTTTGCGCCCTCCTAGGTTCACCAACAATCTTAAATGGAGCTAGTGTCATCAAGAGGTCAGCTAAACCTATTTACAAACCAACCCGCATCACGCTCACCAATGCGACCATTACGTAGCAGATTTGATAGCATCATGCCACCCACCCCAGACTATAGCGACGACTGCTAGCTGAGTGAGCTCATGCAATCTTGTTGCTGCCGCAGCGGCCATCTCAAGGAGCAGCCTAGCTTCTGAAGCGTAGTGAGGCACTAGAGGCAACTTTCCAGCTAACCGTCGAGTCCCGGCATAAAGATGCGGCTTTACAGATTCCGCCTTGCGCGCCGGTTCGGCAACATTAAGGGCTATGGTAAGGGTGGGTTCGTCGTGGACGCCTCGATCAGCGACCCGCAGCGCAAGCTAAAGGAATGCGGGCTGCGAAACATTCCTAATATAACTGCGACTGGTTTATTTCTCTCCATGCGAGCCTGCTGGAAATGTCCAAGCAGAAGCCAGTTAGCTTGGCAGAGTCGGCCATTTGGAAGCCTGCCCTTACGATGAACCGCCACTCGACAGCGAAATAGAGTGGCGTGACACTGGGATTGCTGCAGAGTGAGCAGAGGCAGTGATGACTGAAATAAAAGATCAGGGATGACGTTTGGGTACTCTCACAGTGACGTGGGGCACGTCAGCTGACCAAGTGTCCTTCTTTTCGACAAGAAAGTCTTCTGCGATTCTAGAGGTCGCAACAGAACCCAAGTGATTGTCCGGTAAAAAGAAGGCCAAAACACGGATGTCGATTGCATTTACGTGTAATGCAGACGCCTTTATAAGCTACGTGATTTAAAAAATACAGCAGAACATACTCTGTCAGACGTAGTGCATTTCCCATAGCTAAGTACCTCAGAACAGGCATTGTGGAAAATATTATCTTAGGCTTGTGAATTGCTTGACGATATTTTATTCGTGTCGGTGGGTATTCCAAGAGTAGGGATTTCTACCGAAGTGTCCATCTGTATACAATCAAACCTCTCTAAGTGGCACCCAATTGGTTCGGCCGAACCCGACTCGTATCATTTTTTTAGGAAAGGGACTGGTTCGAGCTCCCGACTAAAAGAGCCGTTAAAAGAACATTCCCTGAACGATCCAGCCGCTACCCTTTCCTTTTCTCCCAACCTAACCGAACAACGTAGACGTGTATGCCCACGTAAAAACCACACAGCTCCGCCCGCCCCACATGTTCACCCCCCACACTCTCTATCGAAGGAAACCATGCGGTCGGCGATACGGGTGCTGACGTCGGCACGAAAGAGGCTTCCTCCTGGCAGCGTTAGCGATGGTAGTGAAATCGCGTTGGGCACGACATCAAGTTCGACAGAGCCGTTGGACAGATCGATCCGCTCAGGGGGTCTTCTGCATCAGAAATCTCGCCTATCCCTTCCAATTGTCACGAGTTTGACTCATCGAACGCGTATGACACGTCAATCCGTACGTATCAGGAAGAAACATGCCAGGTAAGGTGCATTTGATTCTCATAGCCCTTGTGCTCGATAAGATTCCGACTGTTGCTTAGACTTCGTACCATCAAGAAAGTGGGAGACAGATACGCTGTCATCCAGCGAACTGGATCCGATTCAACGCCTACTCCAGACACATGGACCTGGTACGCCGAGCCCTGTGTGTGTTAACGCGGGCAAGTTCAAGTCTCGTGGAAAGGGAAAGCGAACGCGCCAAGAATCTCGCCCAATTGATTGTCCAGCTCAGGTACATGAATCGCTTGTGTCGCACCCCGAGGTGACAGTTACTGGACTATTTGATCCAGTGCTTATTATTTGTTAGCTGTAGATTTACGTCTGCGCTCGTGAGGTCGACAAAGCGGCTTGTCACTTCGCTGTTTGCCGAAACCTGAGAACAACCATTTGGTGGACACGACTACGTATGAGGACTATCCAGCTAACCGAGTCCAGGGAACCCGAAAATGCAATACTTAGAGTAATACATCGATGTGAGCTGAGAAAATTAATAATTCAATGATTTGCAAAACTTCGTAAGTCACGATTGTAGTTCAGAAACATTATCATCTCGAGCCTGGCTGGAGACATTCGCTTCCGTAGATCAGACAACACCAGCTTAGCGAGAGAGAAGAAGCGCTCACACTCGTTAGACGTTGGCGGGATGTACGCGACGTCGACGTAGTGCGCAATTGCGTTTCTTGAACGCCGCTCTCACAATAGAACGCTCTTCGGCGGCTCTTGAAGACGACCGTTCGAGATCAGGCGACCTAAATTCAGCGCAGGCTAATTTTTCCGCGACGTTCAGCGCGTCCCCACGCTGTAACTTGACTAGACCTTACTCAAAATTGGGGTTGTTCCCGTTGCTGGCAGCCATAAATTAATAATTAAATTAAAAAATTGGGATTAGTTCTTACGCATATTATTTTTTCGGGTTCCCTGACCGAGTCGCGTTTGGGAATACGGCTGCGAACGGCTGGGGCCCTGCAAGAAACATTTCCTTCATTACATTACTGAGAATTCTAACTGCCACTAGATAATTCGAGATATACACACTCTCGTGCGAACTCTCAAAGCGAAATGGACGGTTTGACAACAAGTGTTCAGAGATTGAGGGCATATGACCGACTTCAGTGGAATCGGGCAACGTGAGTAAAAGCTTTGTGGAGCCCAAACACAATAAGATAAGACCTCATTAGTCTGAAATATTCCGTTAAAATACGGATTAAAATTGCTCTCTGTTGTTAAATTATCGCGACTTGCATAACAATGCCGACACATGCGGTACCTATATGGTCGCTTTCCTAAGGTTTTATTAATCGATGCGACACATGGAATAAACTTACCTAAGTACACAGATTTTCTCTTTCATAATTCATGTCATTTTCGGGAAGGGACAGCATATGCAGCACGCGCTGCTCTAAAATGAACGATTTGAAATCCACACGACTGCGGTTAAAGCATTCAAAGCCAACAATCCTGCTACAGGACTGCACAAGGGTGTCATTATAGAGAAAACCTTTACTGAGCTGAGCGTATTAAAGATGTGTTTCCCGAACGTCACGATTCTTCTGTGCCAGTTCCACGTTATCTAGTATTTAGGTGAGGAGATCGCAAGGCCGACGAGTACGGATTTAATCCGTGGCAGAAAGAGCAGCTTCAGGGCCTCTTAAACCTGCTGGTGTATGCAGGAGTGAGAGCGAGATTATGGAAAGATACATGCGGCATGTCATTGCTGTTGGCAGAGGAGAATCAGCTAACGCTCCCCTCAGGCAGCGTATTTTTTTCCGTTTGTGAAAGGCGATGACGAGGAGATGGATGACATGGAAGCATGAACGCATCCGTTAGAAGCATATTTCATGAGAACTTGGGATAAATGTAGAGAGAAATGGTGCTCGTGTAAGCGTCAAAAGGCTGTGACGCTGGGCAATAACACCAATAACCGTCTCGAGGCGTCGTGGAAACAGATTAAAGACATTGGGAACTGGTTTAAGCAGCTGGATGAATGTATAGCATCTCTGATGTATTACCAGTCACTCACCGATTGTGAATCAAGTGCTCAGAATTGGCGTTGTGCATCACGCAAATTATGATAGTGAAATGCAGTACGGATCGAATCTGGTGAGCGAGCACGCATGCTCCGTGATTTTCGAACAGAGCGTGTATGCTGTCGGTCGGGCATCGTACCGTTTCTACGAAACCGTCCCTGGTGTCACCGTCATTAAGAGCACCTCTAACGATGAGGACGCTCTGGACACACCAAACCAAATATATAATGTGATCTTGTATGTTTGGCAATGCTCGTGTATGTTCATGAGTACTCGGCTATTGCCGTACCGGCACGTGTTCAACTTGCGGAAGGAGCTGAAAAAGGAGACACTCACTGAAGCTAAGCTACACCCGAGACGGCTTCTTTCAGCACTTCGACCGTTATTCGCAGCTCCCAATTTACACGTTGGGCGTTCCGCATTCGACGGATCGTGCGGTGTGAGCCATCAGCGTGGGATGCAAGCCGAAATTTTGCGAACCAACTCGTGTCGCAATTAAAATCACTAGTTCTATGAGCCATCTTGGTAAACCAGAATATCCAGAAGCTCTACGTGCTCTGACCTCTGTTGCAGAGCTCTTCAAGAAAAAAAAAACAGTTCCAGGAGATCTATCGCCTAGTAGAAGGGTCCCCGTCCAACGACCCAGAAATGCCACAGCATGAGCTACCTGAAGGTACCGACGATCCCCCGACTGCGACCGACGGGACCCCGAATTTGCAGGTGATACAAACCCAACCCGGGCACACCTGTATCGAACATGAATAGGATTGCGAAATTGCAAGCCCGATCCAATCACATGGGAGGCCAAAGCAAAAAGTACCAGCAAAAAAATCCAAAAAGAAGCGTGTCATTGTTGAAGCCCATCACCATGTGAACATGCATCGCATGTATTGTAATCTATTGGTCCTCTCGAAGTTGCTATTCGAAGATTACACTTTCGATTCATCGGAGAAGATACTTTGGCAGTACCGCTTGTTGGAATTCGAGAAAATAAACAAGCCACTATCGCTAACCGCAAAGACAAACTACCTTCCAGCAAACCGATTCTAAGACAAGAAGAGATCTCACGATTCCTGCCAAAAGTCGTCCTTCGAAAATGCAGCAAAATGGTGACGACACTGCAAGGTAAACACAAGGCTCTCAAAGAAGTAGAAATTGTACTCGAAGCACCAAATGCTGGGACTTTCCCAGCAGAAACACTACGAAGGATGCGAAACTACCATCACACTATAGATACAATTGGTATCATCGACAAGGCCATCGCTTGGGTAGACACTATCTATTTTTGCTTGATATCGACCAGTGGTTCCGTGTCGATAAAGACCAAAGTTTGCTGGATGGCTTAAAGACTACTCGACTACAGTCAACTGAGGTATATGTCAGTTTTATCTACATGTTCTAAATGATGGCACTAAATCCTCGTCATGTTGTGTAAATCGAAATACTAGAAATCGTTGGACGTGGCAATCTCAGTGACGCCACCGTAAGACGCGTCAAAGCAAAACTTTACTAAACAAAACCGCGGTTGGTAGTCATTACTCCGAATGTGTTTGGCTGGATTGTGGGCAGGAAGATTACAATGGACGCTTATGCAGTCGAGGTCACGTTAACGACAATAGCCCGAGAGTGTGTCCGTATCCCCATCAGCTGCAATTCTAACCATTGGTGCTCTTTAGGGGTTGCCATTACGGAGCGTGTCGTGTACATCTACGACTTCATGCAATCGAGCTACCTGAGCAGCGTCCAAGTGGTGGCGCAGAATTAACTATAATGCTTAGTGCGCAGCACGGGAGAAAGCTTTCGCGTACAGACTTACGAATCCGATATGGGTACCCAGCTGGACAAATGCAACCGTGGCTTGTTTGGCTTACTTACGTTTGAGCACTTCATAGGAGCACCATCGGGCGAGCGACTGAGCAAGAAGTTGGTGGTGCACCTACGCTACATATACCTTAGCTTGTGTTTGAGTTGAGTACAGCGTTGACGTAATTCGTATAATCTTTTTTTAATGCGTAGCGTGTTCTTAGCATATACAGCCGCCCACTGGATTGGTACCTTGCTTAAATACTGCACCCAGCCTTCACCTTATTAATACTGCTTAAGCACAAATATCCAGCTAAACCGTTATCCAGGTATACGCTGTGGAGTGACACCGAGGACAATCTGGCTCTTGACCAGTCGGATGCTTGTCGGTGCAGACTATCGCTAGTCGGTTACTATTGCCTAGCCTCAGATCCCTCAGTCGGGGTACGCAACACCTGCCTTAAAGAAATGGTCAGTTATAGAAAATGGATACATACAGCCATCTTGAAGAAAGAAGCAACCGTGACCTTTGGGCCTGTGTTTTTATGATCTGAGTTCTCACTACCGTCTTCAATGACTTAAACATTGCTTGCTCATTTTCTGTATCCTTTTCACACTGAAGAAAATGTTTTGAAAACTCCATGTAGCACCGGAGTGCTGTCAATGCTATGATAGGTGGGGCTGGCACTGTCAGCTTCAACATGAAACGTTTTGACACGATATTGCTGCATTGGTATAAATTTGTGCTGCCATGCATTGCCTAGGCGAATGGGGCTGGCTGTAGGTTTTGAGACTAGATTTTATGTCACTGTCTATGAGCAGCCAATAGGTCCCTCGATACAATTGTGCTGACCCCGTGTTTGCGAAAGCAGTCGACCAGTTACTTCCCTAAACAAAATACCTGGTGGCGTCGTGTAGCTGGCGTATTGGCACTACGAATTTGCCCTAGTTGCTTACTGCGAAATGTCGGCTTGTTGTTATACTGACACTCTTTTTAAACGTAGTAGGAACTCCCTGGAGCATCTCGGCATCCATCATGCGGGGGTGGCGCTGCTTTTTTTAAACATATCTAAAGCCTCGCATCTAGCAGTTAGATATACCGGGGCCATTGGGCTGTGTAGGAGGGTCTTTAATTTCGGGGATGAGCGCTTAGTGTAATTGGTTCCTATTTAAATCAGCTATCCATTCAAAGAGTCGGTGCGCCAGCGAAAGCTACGTCCTCCGGATTAAAAAAAGTGAAAGAATCGCCTTTCTACTCGCTCATTAGTGCAAGATCTGATTTTTATTTTGTATAAGGTTTCGGTGGAATAAGTGTACTTCAAGTATGTGTGAATCGGGTGAATGGTGCTTGTGTGACGCAGAAGATGTCCCTTGACGAGAACATCGCAAATGACTGAGTGGACACTTGTCGCTCCTCTGCAAGACTGCGTTGCGTCATTCGGCGCCGAAAGAAGTTTTTTTATGCGCTCGAGTAATTGGACCCGATCCGGATAGAGGACCCAGTTTCTTGGCCACAACACCGTCGATACCCTCTGCATCACGCGAATCCGTACATCGCGACCAAACCAAATGCGGCTAATGGTGCTGGCATCAACCCCAACAAGTTCGTTAGCCTGGTAAATAATTTCCCGCTATTTCACACCCCTTACGTTGTGAACGAACACGAAGAGTACAACATCTTGGCGCTATCTCGTCGTCAGATTAGGCCTGAAATTTGCGGCCATGGCGAGTGCAGAGCTGGTCCAATTGGTACTGACGTCAAGTGGATGTTTGCAGGACGTGTACAAAATAAGCCTTTGGAGTGGATCATTTCGCGCGTATTTGCTCGTAACTT